TTTCTCACTGATGCCGAAAGGTCTTCAGAAAAACTTTTACTATTCTCCAAAGACACTTTCAAGTACTGTTTTAGAAACAAGGAGAGCTTTAAAACAGTTGAAATCAGCAATACATTAAAACATCATTCCTAAATAAACTGAATTGCTATGATGTTCACGAAACAAATCCTACTCTTCTGTCAAACAGATGTCACTAACACTATCTAACTACAAAACACTGAAAGAACATTGATTTACTTTTTATCATTGGGGGATACTAAACAATTTTTCATTACTCTCTGGAAAAGTTAAGATGTCCTCAAGTCACAGACAAGACTCTGGTTACTGTGGCCCAGCCAGCAATCTGTGCCATCAAAACATCAGAACCACAAAATCATAAATCTTGGAGAAGTCCACTAAGTCATCGACTCCACCCATCAGCCCACTCCCGCCATGCCCACACCCCCAGGATCAGTGACTCCACACCCTGGGGCAGCTTGTTCCAATACCTCACCACTCTTTCAGAAAATAAATGTTTCCTAATACCCAACCTGAACCTCCCCTGGTGCTACTTGAGACTATTACCTCTTACCTTTTGTGGTAGAGAACACCGGTGCAGTGCCAAGCCTCCAATGACTCCATTTGTGTCCATCTATAGATCTGTAAGGAGTAAAATCTGTACACAGATGATGGGAAGACAGTTGGGTGACAAAGGGTAAAACATCTATCTATTGTATAAGCAGCAAGTATACAGATGTGTAATTGACAAATATGGAGAGAAGTTAGGCTGGTCTTTAGAGAACATATAACTAGAAAGATTATCACATTAGAAAAGGATAATCAGAAACAAACAGAAAAGCTTACCTGTATCTCAGGCTTATAGAGAAAAACTCCAAGAGGAGCAATCTCTAGAGAGAGATCCTTCCTCAATGGCAGTCAGCCCTTAAATGGGATCTAGGAGAGGTGCAGCCAGGCTCCACCCCTGCTGGTCACACAGCTGAATTGCCTTCACCTGTGCTTCCACAGCCGACTCAGTGCTTGCTTCAGGTGATCAATCAGAGGTTCAGGCCCTGATTCAATAGTTCCCATACACCTATCATTATTTAAAATGCTATTCAATTAAATAATCTCACTGCTCTTACTTTTGATATTAATAGCAATTAACATTCTTTCACATAAAGTTTGTGAATAATGGTTCTGTGTCAAGGTGGAGGCTGGTAACAAGTGTTCCTCAGGAGCTGGTCTTGGGACCAGAGCTCTTCAACATCTTCATCAGTGACAGACGATGGCATCGAGTGCATCCTCATCAAGTCTGCAGATGACACCAAGCTGAGCGGTGCAGTCGATACATTGGAAGGAAGGAAAGCCACCCAGACGGAACTGGATGGATGCCCCATCCCTAGAGAGCTTCAAGGCCAGGCTGGATGTGGCTCTAGGCAGCCTGGTCTGGTGCTTGGTGACCCTGCACATAGCAGGGGAGTTGAAACTAGGTGATCACTGTGGTCCTTTTCAACCCAGGCCATTCAATGATTCTATGACTCTTTGATTCTATGATTTACTTACATCCTCAAGAGGCAGAAAATAAATAATAAAATAATCTAAATTCCATCTTGTCTGGGCAGGGATATAGCACAAACCTCTCCACCTCTTTCCTTCCTCATTCTCCCCCAGCCCCATCAATACATCTTAGCATTGTGTCAAGATATCCAGGTTACTGAATCTTAGATAAACTGCCTGACAGATATTGTTCCCAGTGGATTTGGGGCCCATTAATAGGCCAAATGATCTGCAATTAACCTGCTCAAAAGTCTTGACTGGAGATGGTGAAGGGGCAGTGAGGGGAAGAAAGAAAATATTTAAGGTAATTCTGAAGTGTTTTTTTTTTTTTCTGTAAAAAGGGTATATTTTTCTATGCAGGTAGAATGTCTTTAGCATAGCTGGTACTGACCTTTTGTCCACGCTCCGAATTCTTGGATAAAGTGACAAATAGTTCCATGAGCCTGAAATGAAACAGTTCTACCATGCACAAATGCACATACACAACTTCTGTGATCCTGCAGGTGTACCTATGCTTATGTGCACATCATTCACGTTTCTAAACAAAAGAAACCAAACCTGTGTGATGCCAGTACCTGAATACATTGTGAAACTCAGATGTTACCTCTGTGTTTTATCTTCTCTATAGTCTTTTACTCTCATGCATTATTTTAATCCTGTTACAACTTTTTACTCACATCACTTAATTGCTCATAAGCATGTAACTATTATGAGTATTTTCTCTTTGTGTTTTTTTTTTAAATGCCTCAATTATTCTCTGGCAATGTTCTACTTTAATGGATTAATGTATTTACCTGCCATTTTATCACTACCCTCTTTTTCAGTTCATGTAATTTGGCAACTTTTCTCCTCACATCTGTAAAAATTCTATCATTAAGTCATTTTTCAGCTTTTTAATTTGTTCCTGCTACTATTTCATTCTAAACAGTATTAAATTAACAAAATAAATCCTATACTCATCCTCTTGTCTCTTCCATGCCAAAATGCTCCTGCTTACCAATGTCTTTTGTAGCAGAGCTGTTTGCTTTCAACTAAAATATTGAATGGCCCAGTGAAAGAGAGAGGCAGAGCAAGAGAGAGAACAACCTTATTGTCCAGTGGTTGGATCATGTCTTTGAATCAACCAGAGCAAAATGGGAGCCTTTAAAATCTCCTGCCAGGCAGGTGTCCTGGCTACCAGGCAGTCAGCCATACTGGGATCATCCTCAGAAAAAGGCACTTCTCAGTGGAAGTTGGGTTTAAGGCACATGTTTCTCATGAAAAGCCTTAGTCAGACAGCACAGCAAAAGTGTTTCCTTGAAAACCTCCTGTTCAGCTGTGGTTACCATGGATAAGGAAGTAAATCTTTCATATATATAAAATCATACAGATTGTCCAGCTCTCCTTTCACTTTGCATAGCACATTTTTAACACCTGTGCTGCTATCATAAAGAGTCAGCTCCAGCTATTAAAGACATGCTAAACTTTAATGTCATTCACTATGCTGAAATTTTCTGATCTCTAATTGCTAATGTCATTCTTCCACAGTCTCACATTCACCTCCAGACACATCAGCAATGGATAGCTGATTCTCTAACCCCTCAGCAACCATTCAGTACCTTTACTAGTTTAGAATTCCTTACCAAAAAGATTTGGAAATGTCCTTACAAAAATAGCTTACTGGTGGCTTCTTCTACGTCGGGTCCTGAAGTTTTGTTACAGCTCCACAATATCCCTTGCTTCAAGAATGGAGCTGCATTTTTTCCAGCCTTTCTAGCAATTTTCTCAAGTGAAGCACACCCTTCAGGATTTCTTTTTCCACAGTTCAGAAAGCATGAAAACAGCAGAATAAAACCTGCTTCATATGGCTGCCAGACCAAAGCATGGATGCTTATTTTATGACACAGACTGTTAAAAACTTTGGCACTAAGAAATGTCTTGAGAAAAAGATTGTGAACCAGCAAGTAACCTGCATGTGTCATAACACATTACTTCCACTGTAGTTCCGTTATTCATCTGACTTACATGCAGACTCAAGTCTTACCGTTTTTACTCATGTCAGTTACTAAACTCATTCTGCCTAATCCTGCTGACTTCAATCTCTGCTCCTGAAACCTTAAGGAAGGTCTGTGTGTCTTCCTTATTTGCATCCTGCCCCATAAAGCCATAAAACACAACCAGGCTGGGAGCTCTTCAGGCTCGTTGCTCCTGAGAACTGCTACCTGAGTTATTTCCAAATGCCCCATTCACCCACCAATTGACTGTTCACTCTTTCCTTGAAGCATTACTCTTCTCTTTTCCAACCTTGTTTACTCAAGGATTTCTTTCTGGCTTTGATGAGTGTCCTTTCTCTCTTGATTCTTCACCCTGTTTCACATGGATTTGAACAAATGTTATCTTTTTGCTAATCCCCTGCTCAAAGCGATGATGAGAATTTTGATTTCCTTTTAAAATCCTCAAAGCATCTGATCATAAATTTATAGGAGCTATGCAAATCGCTTGTTGCAGAGCTGCAGCGTCTTCCAATAACACCACTGCTGTTTTGTGTTTTGAGGAACAACTTGTTCTCTCAGCGTGTCTGCCATTTGCTCCTTTCTTACCTTCAGTTGTTTTGCAGTTCTCTGCTAATTCAGATGACCTTTCTCCTTGTTTCTACTACTAGCTTTTAAAGCCAGATGGTTTGCAAGACCCATGAGAATATACTAATTTATGTTTCTGCATTTCCATGTCTCATCTTGCTCCCCACCTCCACTCCTCCCCTTTTCCTTTTTTTTTTTTTTCTTCTTTCTATACTTTCAGTGCTCAGATTTCTTTCAGAATTGTTGGAATTGATTTTCTGAGTTAATGAACACTTGACTGAAAAGGACCTGTTGTGTTCAAGAAACCACTCCTCTCCAAGATGAAAGCAACCATCTAAAAGACCTCCATCACAGAAATGCTTTGAAATCCTTTTGCAAATCTTGTGCCAGCAAACAGCAACCAGTGTCCATATATTTCTTTGACATTTTTGTTTCTGAATCAAATGTTGTTTACATACATGTAAACTGTTTACAGCCGGTTTGCCAGCCTTAACCACCCAGGAAGAGAGGCAACTTTGCACTAGGCTTAGAAACCAGGACTCTTCTCCATCTCATGCTTATAAGTGAGTTTTTCCCAGGGCAAAACTGAGAATTACAGAAGTCTGCAACTGTCCATCAGAGAACCAGGAGACATAAGCATCCTGTATGGCCCCTGCAGACCTCCCCACAGCCCCCTGCCTGAAGCCAAGGGCAAAGCTCCCACTTGGCCACCAGACCTGGCCTGACCACCTCACAGCACGTATCAGAGGTCCCAGTGCAGTGATTGGATGCCTGAGCCAAGCCCAGAAGCCACTTTTGTGGCTTTTGTGGCTGCAGGAAGCCCTCCAGCCATCCCATAGTGTTTCAGGGTTGCTTTGTTTTGTGGGGTTTCATTATTTAATTTTCTGATCTATGGCAAAGATCACTTAATGTATTACAAATTTAACTCTTTTCAAATATTTTGAATGTGAGTCTGCCATGACTATGACTGAAGTCAAGGAGGAGGAAGTTTTTCAGGAGTATAATTAGAGCCACTTACCTCAAAGATGAACATCAGGAGAATCTGAACTCCAGCTGCAATAGAAGAATTTGAATCGGAGTTGTGCAGCCTGGAGAAGAGAAGGCTCTGGAGAGACCTGAAAGCAGCCTTCCAATATCTAAAGAGGGGCTATTAGAAAGAAGGGGACAGACTTTTTAGCAGTCTGTTGTGATAGGACAAGGAGAAATGTTTTCAAACTAAAAGAGGGGAGATTCAGTTTGGATATAAGGAAGAAGTTATTTACTAATAAGGTGTACCATAGTAAGGTACCAGTGAAACACTGGCACAGGTTGCCAAGAGAGGTGGTGGATGCTCCATCCCTGGAGACCTTCAAGGTCAGGGTGGACAGGGCTCTGAGCACCTGATGGAACTGTAGATGTCCTTAAGACAGGGAAATTGGCTAGCTGACCTTTAAGGGTCCCTTCTAACTCAAACAATTCTATGACTCTATGAATTAAGTATATAGAGAGGGTGACTGAAAGGCCTGGGACCTTGCCATCATTCACAGCATCATGAAGATGGTTGTCCTGGTCAGACACACAGCTTCTCCTCCCAGATGGCACAGCCCCTGTGCTATTTCAGCTTGGTGACTGCAACTGCTACATTAAAGCCTTGATATACGAGAATCCGCAAGAGAAGAGGCAGCCAGTGGGTTTGTGTTGAGCCTTATTTACCTGGCCTTCAGGCTGCTGGGTCCCGCTCCTGCAGAGTGAGGTGGGAACAGGAGGTAGAGGATGCGCAGGTCTCTCAGGTGGCCATGGGTTTGACCAGCT